CCCATCCAGGACGCCTTCCTGAGTGCCATGAGGATGCTGTACCTGGCAGACACTTTCTCCACTAACTTTGAGGACCCCGAAGGGGCCAAGAAGCAGATCAATGATTACGTGGCAAAGCAAACAAAAGGCAAGATTGCAGACTTGATTGAGGTTCTGGATGGCACTGAGGTCATGGTTATGGTGAATTACATTTTCTTTAAAGGTAAGGCCCTTGGGTTTGAACCTGAACTTCCTCTTCTCAGCTGCTCATGTAAAAAAAAAAATAATATATATATATATACATTATATATATGTGTGTGTGTGTGTGTTGCGCACACGTGTGTGTGTGTGTGTGTGTGTGTGTGTGTATCTCCAATTCTGGTACACATAGAAGAGTGGGAGTGGATTTAGCCCTTCCTGATACCTGTCGGTAACAGTGAAGCCAACCATCAGCCATGGGTGAGATGGTGCCTTCTTACTTTGTAGGGTGATGTTAATGACCCCGGGTGCTGTTTCCTCCTCTGGGAAAGAGCTGGTTCCTGTTGGAGGTCCTGGGAACACCTAAAAGCCAAAAGCAGGCTCTGAAGTGTGTTTGTCATGGCCACGGTGCCAAAGAAACTGACACCATGGCTGCTCAGGGCAGGACTGTGGGCCTTAGAAAGGCCTTAGAAGGCATTTCCCAGATGCTCCCTTGTCCCCAGATCCTCACCTCCATGCCCTTCTAGGGGCTGTTTCCTCAGCCAAGAAATCCTGTTCTGAAGAGTCTTTTTTCCCCACCTCAAGGGCTGAGCTCCCCGTCATTACCTCCCTGATGTTTCTTGTAAATATCCCTACTCACCTCAGCTTTGTGTGTCTGCTTCTCCTGGATACTGAGCTCCCGAGCCCTGTACAGGGCAGGGTTGAGATGTGGAGGGGAGGGGAAGGGGGGAAGGGAAGGAGGAAAATAGTTAAGTTGTTAACCGAACCCCCCTCTTCTTAGGGTCACAGATGGTGAGTATCAAGTTTGGACTCAAAGATTTCTTGTCCCCTGGTCTAGGGCTAGGCTGCAGAGAACAGCCATGAAGTAAGCTCGTGGGGCACTGGGGCGGGATCCATATTTGATAACCACTAGGAAGATGGAAACAATGTATCACTTGGAAGAAAAAGTCCTACAGGAAACCCCAGAGTGGGAAGTGTTAACTGAAAAATTACCCAGGTATAGGGTAGCGTCGTCAGCCATCCGTATTAGTTACCCTCTTCACTTGGATATTTGACCTTGAGTAAGGACATCAGAGAAGCAAACATTAGGGGTTAAGGGCTTCTGAAGACATGAGTACCAACCTCCTTGTTTTGCAAATGTGGAATGAAAAGCCCCACAAAAAGTTCCAGCCTGTCCCCCAAATGAGGAATTGGCTTGTCTTTATATTCAAGAGGTTCAGCGACCACTTCCGCCAACGAAACTGCTCTAAAGAGGATGCTCTTTGTTTGGTAGGTTTCTTGTCTCCACCTTTTTCATTGGCAGCTGAGAATTTCAAATTCCTTTTCCATTTTAATCTTTCTTTTTTTAACCTGATTTTTAAAAATAGAGGTATAGTTGATTTACAATGTCACATTAATTTCTGGTGTGCAGCACAGTGATTCAGTTATACATGTATCCCTTCTAACCTTTAGCAAAGTGGGAGACAAGCTTCGACCACAAAAGCACCCACGAGCAGGACTTCCATGTGACCTCGGAGACGGCGGTGCGGGTGCCCATGATGAAACATGAGGACGAGTATTACTACTTCCTGGACCGAAACCTCTCCTGCAGGGTGGTGGGGGTCCCCTACCGAGGGAATGCCACTGCCTTCTTCATTCTCCCCCGTGAGGGCGGGATGGGCCAGGTGGAAAGTGGACTGAAGGAGAAAACACTGAGGAAGTGGCTCAAGTTGTCCGTGAAGAGGTATCACTCCCACTTCTCCGGGGCCAGCCCACTGCTGCTCACCCCCAGGGAGACACGGTGCCCCTCGGGCTGCAGAGCAGTGGCGGGGAAACTCACCTAGGCCGGGAGCTGTTCCTAGCCCAGAGGCGACATGTGAAGTCCCAGCCCCCTGGCCTGGCCCAGCTACAGGGAGACATCAGAGTGGACAGTGACCTCTGGGGACAACCCATGTCCAAGTCCAGAGTTGGGTGGGTCCCCTCGAGGCAATGGTCTGATGGAGCACTAGGAAACCAAGAGGGGTCAGCAGGAATGTAAGTACAGTGAGTCAATGCTCTAGAAGAGTCGAAGAAGAGTCCTCTTCTCTTTCCAGGCAGCTTGAGCTTTACCTACCCAAGTTCTCCATTGAGGGCTCCTATCAGCTGGAGAAAGTCCTCCCCAAGCTGGGGATCAGTGACGTCTTCACCTCCCAAGCTGACCTGACCGGCATCAGCAACCACTCCAGCATCCTGGTGTCTGAGGTGAGCATGTGCTTTTAGAAATTTTTTTTCTTTTCTGTTCTGTTCTGTTCTGTTCCATTCCGTTCCATTCCTCATCCCATAGTCTTTCTTTCTCTTCTTCTCAAGAAGCAAAGGTTTCACTTTGTATCTTATCCTTTGTGCACTGGGAAGTCATATCCAGCACTGTGCCTTGCGGGAAGGTGTCCTGTCTTCAGCAATCAAAACTAAGAATCCAGCGCTAGTTCCTTCACTCACTAGCTGTGTGACCTCTAACAATTGCTTGACCTCTCTGAACCTCCTTTCTCTATAAAATTGAAGAGTCATGCCTCGCTGTGAGATGCCATGAAAATTCAATGAAAGCCACATATGCACTCACCTTTGAGCCCTGGTGAACAAGGGCTGTTCAGTTGCATCATTTCCCACCTGCCTCATGGCTCAGTAGCACAGATACTTCGATGGTGATGCTACTGGCAGGTGGCTGTTGCCCCGATGGCATCTCCCAGCCCCTAGTGGCTTGGTGATGCTCTGTGTCCCCCCTGCAGATGGTGCACAAAGCCGTGGTGGAGGTGGACGAGTCGGGAACCAAAGCGGCTGCAGCCACGGGGACAATCTTCGTGTTCAGGTCGGCTCGGCTGAGCTCTCAGCGGATCGTGTTCAACAGGCCCTTTCTAATGCTCATTGTGGAGAACAGCAAGAACATCCTTTTCTTTGGCAGAGTGAGCCGCCCGTGAGGTGGAGATTTCTCCTGAAAGACACAGGCCTCCACTGTGGAAGACGAGGGTGCACTGTGGCTGGGAGCTGGTGATTCACACAGGTTTAGTTGACTAATGAGACTTTCACAAGTAATAATAATAATAACATTGAAATACTGATGATTACTTCTTTGCACACCATTGCAAGACCTGGGTGCTCCAAAGAACCTTGGAGAACATTCAGTCTTGCCCTCACCCGTCATCAATGGAGATTAGCACCAAGGCTCAGAGAGGTTGGTTGACTTGCCCAAGGCCACACAGCATGTTAGTGGCAGAGAGAAGCCCAGAATTCAGGTCCCTGTTGCCCAGTCCAGTGACACCAAGCTCTGCAGGAGGGTTGTTCCAGTAGATATTGCCACCAGGAAGTGAATTTCCAAGCCTAGTCCCCCACATGTTAGCAATACCAGCTCTCAGTCCATCATGATTTGGAAAGAATGCTGAAATGGGAGTATGGAATGGGGCTTCTGTCCCAGCTGTGTGACTTTGGGTAATACTGTCTCTCTCTGGACTTTGGTTTCCCCAAGTATACAATGAAGGGTCAGGTCAAGGATTGAAGGACCTTTGAAATCATTGAAAAGGCTAAGGTCTTCCCTGCCACTTACAGTTGATTTCAACACATTCAAGTGCCACTCATCTTTTAAGAAGAACCTTGGCCGGCAGGGTGGACGTGGACTGTCAGAGGATTGAACCATCTGTGGATTAATTTACCATCTCATGGGCTTGTCTGGGGGTGGGAGAATGGAGGTCTGTTGCAAACACTAGAGAGCGATTGAAGACCCTGTTGACTAACTGTGAATTTTAGTGTCCACAATAACAATAAAGCCTTTTGCAAACACTAGGTGTCATTGTCGCTATGGAAGTAGCTCTGAAAACGTGACATTAATAGCTTACCATGTTCCAGGCTCAAAGCTAGGTGCTTTACCTGGATGGTTGCATTTACCCCTTACAATATCCTGTGGGAGGTAGGCAGTACTGTTATCCCCATTTTACAGATGGGGAAGTTGAAGCTTGCAGAGAACAGGTGAGAAGCTCCTCAGTGGTAGAGGCAGGATTTGACCCCGGGAGTGTGGCTCCGGGACTTCACTCTCAGCCCTGTTCTCTGCTGCAGAGGAGACATGACCAGGAAATAGAAGCCCAGGTCAGGTGAATCAGGGTACCAGCTCTTCTGACATCCAGGTAGGCTCACTCTCCTCCTTCACGAAACCCAGCATGCTGCTTCGGTATCAAATGAAGGGAATCAGACATTTTCAAGGATGAATGAATGAGTCCTTCACTCAGTCTCAGACTGTCCCCTAATCAGCTGTCCCCAGGCCTGATCCCTGAGTGCCTGTCACCCTACCTTCCTTGCCCCTAGCTTGCTTTCAGTGAGCCTGCACCCAGCGCTCTGATCCCAGAGACTGGACTGTATGGCAAATGGGTGCCCCTGAGAACCACCGAGGTTTGAACCTGAGGACTTGACCATCCTCCACTGAGCACCTACTACAGGCCAGCTGTGGGGACACGTGGCCTCTGTGATCTCATTAATCCCTCAACACGCCCATTTCACAGACAGCAATGTTAAGTGTCTACCTAGAGCCCCCCAGCAGGTGTCAGTGCAGGCTCTGGGACCCAAACGACACGGGTTGGCTGGCGGCAGGGCAGACGGCTGCACCCAGAACCAGACGGCTTGCCTGCGTTTGTGTCTCAGACTCTGGAAGCTGGAGGACGGGGCCTCCTCGTGGGGTCAGACCTGCTCCTGGGCACCTTTGCCTTTCGCCACACCTGGTCTGCCTTAGCAAATATTTCTCTCCGAGTTTACCCAGCCAGTCCAAGGTCAGGGGGAGGCCCCGCTGTGCTGCGTGTGTAAGGCCAAGGTCCTGCGCTGTCTAAAGTTCACCCAGCAGACACTCACAAAACAGCTACCATGTGGGGGGTCGGGACGGGCTCGGGGTGGCTGACTTGGGGGAAGCCTTGGCGCATGTCGTGGAAGGAAGCTCGGAGCTGGGAGTCATCGCAGGTCA